GCCGCAAGCCCTCCCACCGCCTCTACGCCCCGCCCAGAGAGCGGCGCCCCGCCAGTCCCGGGCCCGCGCCACAGCGCCCCCTGGCGGCGCGGAGGACAAACCGGCGCCAGAGCCCGCCTATGGCTCTTGGGCAGGACACACTCTGTACTGCTCGCCAAGGCACCGCATCCATTTGGCCTTGGCTTTCTTTCATTCTTTATGCGCCGAAATACTCATTCTAGGAGAAACTAAGATTACTACAACTCTTACTGTGCCTGCGCTGGTACAACTGTTGGAAATAAAGTGAGGACAGCTCTTTTTGTGTGTTTGTGAATTACACACTGTCCTCAATGCTTAAGGCATCGTCAAGAGATTGCATTTCATCTTTCAGCTGAGAAAAATAGAGGGTAGGGAAACCAAGTCATTTGCTTCATGTCCCACAGTGGCAAAGCTGAGTTGCTGAGCACTTGAACACAAGTGTGTCAAAAATGGAAACTGATGCTTTCCGTACAACCTAACACTGTGTCATTGGTGGGGGCAAGGGGGGGGTTGCATTTCAGGTAGACTGTGAGTTGGACAGACTTCCCACAGAAGAGTTGAAGAGAGGAAAGCAAGAACTTCCTGGGTTAAAGAAAACAGACAGTGTGGGGGTACTTATAGAAGAGATGCAAGGCAGAAAGATCACGTGGAGCTGGAGGCAAAGGACCTTGACTATGAAGGGGAAAATCTTATTTTCTGTACGGGCAGAGTTTTGAATGGGAGTAGATGAATAACTTCAAAATGGCAAAGCTGTAAATAACAGTATAATTATACTAATAATCCTCTTAGGTAGAGATTTCCCAAGTGAATAACATTCACTGATTATAACATGGGTTGTTTTCTAAATATAATAATATACTGGTTTACTTTCCTACACTCTGAATTATTTTTGTATGGATTTTGAATGGAAAGAGATGTTAGACAATCTACAACCTCAAATGTCTGTTGTTTGGGTGTACATATCCTTAGACTGGAGAAGTAAGCATGGCACTTTATATCTAATAACAGCCATTGTAATGATATTAACCTACGCAGCTCTTTTGTTGGGGGAGATCAAGTTTGATATTTATGACAAAAGAAATGACTAAGGTATGGTGCTCTCATGCCTTGACAAATCATGTAGGAATTTTAAAAGTGAAGTAGAGCTATCTGTGTTATCAGGGAAGATGGCCAATATATATTATTGGAAAACAATGAACTATAAAACAGTATAAACTCTGACAGCATGGAGTAAACAAACGGATGTACTGGGGCAGTAGCTCAGTGGGGAATGAGGGCTGGAGCTCGGACCCTCAGATATTGGGACCATCAGTCAGTGTTGTAAGCCACCTTCTGGGGGGTGACTTCTGCCACAGTCTATCCACAGCGGGTTTGTATGTTCCAGGGTAGGGGCGTGAGGATTAAAAATGTTAGGTAGGAGGAACAGAGATAAGAAAGAAACTCAGAGACTAGAATAGATAGAGAGGGCAACTCAGCGAATACTGAAAGTTGAATTTCACCCGTGTTTATTTTTCATACACTTTTATACCTCAGTACAAAAAGGGGGAAGAAGGCAATAGGCTGTTTTAATTTGATACAAAGGACAACAAGAACAGTTACTTGAGATATCATGAGCAAAGCATTTGATGTTTGGGACAGTGAACACACCCTAGACCAAATATCCTGCAGGCAGCCACTCCCTAATTCAAACCTCCTATTTTAAAATGAAGGAGCAGGAATAGGCTGGAAAAGAACAAGCAGAAGTGTGCTTGAATTCTCTGACCTTTGGTCAGGGTGGAACAGATCCACCTCTATGGGCCATCTTAATGTCCTAAACACCAAGTAACCACACTCTCGGTCAGGATATCTTATTTTGTAGCCATACTTGTTGTCAGCAGCTTTGAAAGAGCAAAATAAGCTCAAACTCTCTGACCTTCAGGCAAGGTGGAACAGGCTCACATTTTTGGGTTCCCACAAGTAAGCTCTGGAGGTGGGGATAGGTTCTCCCAAGCAGAATAGCCAGCTAGACCCGCTGAATTGGTGAAGTTTAGGTTCTAGTGAGAGACCCTGCCTCACATGTACCTACCTGTAAATGTGTGCCCACATACATGTGAACACACACACAAGCATCACAGACACACACCAATAAAAAGGAAATGTATTGGTTCATGTGCTGTCTAGTTTTATGTCAACTTGACACAAGGTATAGTCATCTGAGAGGAGGGAGCTTCAGTTGAGAAAATGTCTCCATAAGATGGGGCTGTGGCAAGCCTATAAGAGCGTTTTTCTTGACTATGATGGATGCAGGGGGGTCCAGCCCATTGTGAGTGGGCTGCCCAAGGTTGTTCCTTGTGCTGGTAGCTGAACTTGGTAGTTTAAGAGTCAACCAGATGGGGGCTAGTTTTGAATGTGAAGAGGTCACAGGGAACAACTGAAGCTTGGCACTGTGTGGCAAGGTTTGGAGTCCTGTGGAGAGTCTAGGAGAGGCTTTTGGAGAAAGTTGTGGCAGAAGACCCCAGTAGTTTGGAGATACCTGTATCACAGGATGACCACCAAGAAGAGCAACAGCAGTGAAGTGGAACCAGCTGAAACCTAGAAGACAAGTTGTGTGTGATGTAGGAAACAGAGCCAGAAAAGTAACCCAAGCCCTTGGGAAAAGTCCGGAAGATCGGGAGTAGATTCCAGACATTGGGTATTGAGTTATTTATAATTGAAGTTTGGTTTTACTTTGATTTGGTTGTGACTGTGCCTCTTGAAGTTAAAAAGTAATTGTTTGATTTTATAGGAGCCCACAGTTGAGAGGGACTGAACTTAAAAGAGAT